AAACGTTGGTACTTCGAAATATTTTCGTGGATCTGATAGTACAAATTCCTATGGTATTTTTACAAGGAATTGAAGTCTTGATATTTTAACTATGCATTTTAAAGAAAACCGCTGATTTAGTATAAAAATACATGAGAAAATGTGACAATGATTTTGGCCCTGTTGGTGCACAATGTTGCAAAACAATTACGATGAAGTCAAAAAACCACAATCTTTGAAACTCCACGGATTAACTTTGTTTGAAAAAAATATTTTAAGCGATCCACTCACATGAAAATCACTGTTTCTGACGATTGTGCGAGCATTTTGATAAAGTATTTAACAGAGTTTGCAGCAGTGGTAGAAATATTTCCTTTGACATATTGTTTCATGACCATACCACAAACAGCAATTCTAAAACGGAGAATTTTTGTGGGTTAAAAAAATTTCGATGCCAGCATTCATAATTACTAAGAACTTACGCGATTATAGAAGACAACGAGGTGATTTCGGCAGTGAGGTAGGCCATATATGGAATGACAAATATAAATACCGGTGCCAAGATACGTACCCGATGGGTATATCTAAAAGAAATCAAATGTAGCCTCATTTTGCTCTAATATCGAAGTCGTTTCAATCGTACCACATGATACTACTCAATTTGTAGCTCCTATAAAAGTTAAGTCTTTCAGATAAAAGGATTTATGTCATAGCTTACTTGGTGATCAAACTGACAAGAAAAGCAGCAATGATGCCAAGAACTGCTCCACCACAGGCAACAACGAAGAAGGAAAGAACTCCAGCAGCATAATCAATTGGTACAAGGTTTTGTGGACCAATTAGAGTGAAACTTTTGAACATTTGATATAGCACCTAAATGACTTTGTATTACTCTGTTTTCAGTATTACGGTTTTCGAGGCACCTCAATCATGGAATATCTTGGACTTTTTAGGTAATAAGGCGCCAGGTTCTTTTACATTTCCATTGCGGCATTTCCTCGTGTGAAACGTAGAGGTTTCTCAATATATTAGACTCACCAAGAACAAAGAAGAGCC